GATGTGGGGCGCTCCAGTGACTTCCTGAGTAAAGCAAGGTGATGACTGCAGAGCCTGACTCAGGCCTGTATGTTCTCAGGGTCTTTGCCCACACAAGCTGTCACTTCCCAGCCCTCTCCATGCTTATACTACGTCACAAGCCAGTATAAAAGTGAAAGGCGCCTGTCCTGAAAGGAAACACTGTACATGGATCCTGTTGCGTCATTTTTATAAAGAGAAGTTACCTTGGCCCTCTCTGGGTGAACTGCTGTTGAGATGAAAGAAATGTGAACTAAGAATTTAGAGGCGGGGCTGTCGTCTACAGAAATAAAATTGGCCTTTGATGTTTTCTTAATTCACAACCTTTCTCTAGAGTGCTCAACCTGTGGGTGACCCCTTTGGGGGTCAGAAGACACTTTCACAAGGGCTGCACGTCAGATATCCTGCATATCAGACATTTACATTAGGGTTCATAACAGTAGCAAAATTACAGTTATGAAGTAGCAATAAAATAATGTTATGGTTGAGGGGGTCACCACAATGGGAGGAACTGTATTAAAGGTTCGCAGCGTTAGGAAGGTTGAGACTCACTGAGCATGCTCCAAATGTGTCTGCAGATTGTAGATCCAGCAGTCATAGGACATGTGTCCTCACAGGCCAGGCTGATCTGTATGTGTAGATTAAAGACCAAAACTACCTGTGGAGTCATTGCTGACTCATTCCCGGCCTTCCTCAGTCACCTTGATAACTCTATTTGGTTTAACTGGTTGCATTTCATGTTGACTAATGAATGCAAGGGAAAGCTGCTCACCAGGACTCAACCTTGGTCTAATTGGAGTCCAAGGCCAGGGCTATGGACCCCTCCTGGACTCTCTCCCACAGCTCTGTGGTTAGGGATGGACTAGTCCTGAGTATGGAACTAAAGGCCGATTCAGCTGCAGAAACAAAACTCAGTGTCAGGCTCCCTGACCACACATTTCCATTTTTTCCTTTTCCCAAACCCCAGGTTGTCCCCCTGCCAAGGTCCCACAGGAAGGCTTCCTAGATTAGAACAGACCCTCAGAGGGCACTGGAGGTTCACGGTTGACTGATAAGCTCAGGCTTCTCTCTTGGTTTGCTTCCAAGCAGTGTGGCATCTTAGGTTAGACAAAGCTACAGCATTCTAGAGGCAGAGCACATTGTCAGAACAAGGGTGCTGTTGCCTAGTGATAGACAGACAGAGAAGGCAGGAGGGGTAAAAAGAATTATAATTTAGTTGCAAAGTATGATGGTAAAAGTGTGTGTTGAGAGTTTGGAAGCATTTTCCCCTCTGTGGGTTGGGTGACATCAGGCAAGCTCTTTACCTCTCTGGGCCCTGATTTCCTCCTCTACAAATAACTGAGAACACACAGCACTGCCCCAGCGTTAGGAGACTGTTTGTGTAGTCTGTCCAGTGCCAGGCTTCTGGCAGGCACAGTGACCTTGAAGTCAGTAAGGTGATGGTGGTAGAAGCAGAATGCTTAGAGAATGGGGTCACCTTGGGCCAGTCACGTTATAATCTGCCTCAGTCCCCTCTGCAAAAAGACAGGGACAGGCAGCTCTGCCATGCTTGCTCCCTGCCCTGGAAGCCTGAACGGTGACCCTCCACGCATATCAAATTGTGCAACACAGGGGTTCGAGCCCTGCAGCAACAGGCAGAGAACAGCAAGCAGGCTGCTGTCATGATGGGAGTGGCGAGTTGCCACAAGGCAATTTCTTGCAGTTAAAACCTCTTTTCACCTCCACAAAACCAATTTCTAGTACCCTCTCCCCAAAATGATGTCATAACTGAAAACACATTCAGATTTCTACTTCCTGCTGGTGGCAGTTAGGCTGAGACAGCACAGGGAGGGTTGGGGGTTGTCCTAATTCACTGATTTTGATTGCTTACCAGTTCTGAGCATGCTGTCAAGGACATGAGAGTTTGCATTTTGTCTCTAGAGACCTGCTTTGCTACCCCCTGCCTTAGTGTGGCTGCCAAGCCCAGGGGGTCAGGGGTACCAGCTTCTCCCATTAGAAGATAAGCCAGGAGAAGGGGTGGGCTGCCCAAGTCACCAGGCCTTTAGTAGAATTCCACGTTTTCATAGAGGAGGGGCCTCCTCCTGTCTCCCTCCCCCTCCAGCCCTCCCAGTTTTGTGCCAAGGCCAGAGAGAGGCCCAGTTTCTTGTGGTCAGCACATTTCACCTACCAGGAGTCTTGAGGTTTGCCCTTTCCATTCAGGCTCCTCATAATCCAGAAAGAGGTCTTGGTTCCTTTTGACTAGAGAGGTGTTAAGTTGGACTGGAGACTGTTTAAGAAAACCATCAGTGTTCGGTGTATGTGGGGCGTTGTGTTTTGTACTGCTGTCAATGCGCTGCACACATGGGCCTGTGGCAGGGCACTGGCCTTAACATCTGTAAGAGAGAGTTGCTGGCTCCCTTTGAAGCTGAGGGCTTGGTAATTGCTGCTTTGATTGCACAGGAGGGCTTCAGTGGGTGGAGCCCTGTTCCTTGCCAGCAAGCAACTCGGCCCCACTGCAGACTATGGCAAGTCTCCCATCTCTGGAGCTTGGTTTCTTCAAAAGAATATTGACTTGACCCTTTCTAGATCTGTAAAACAACACACTCAAGGCCCCATTTCTCCCATGGGAAGTTAGAGTTGGTCTGCCCTAATGGCCCTGGTGTTTGTTTTTTGTTTGTTTGTTTGTTTTGTTTTTTACGATTTATTTATTTATTATGTATATAGTATTCTGTCTGCATGTACACCTATGTGCCAGAAGAGGGCAGCAAATCACATTATAAATGGTTGTGAGCCGCCATGTGGTTGTGGGAATTGAACTCAGGACCTCTGGAAGAAAAGGCAAGTGCCTCTAACCTCTGAGCCATCTCTGTAGCCCAGTGCCCCTATATTTTAGAAAGGCTGGTCAGGGCCAGTCAAGAAGCCTCCTGGCCACCTTTTAGGACAGCAGTGCAGCCTTGGGTGGTGGCCTGCCATGCAGGGGACCCCTGAGGACAGCCAACTTGTCAGGGGGAGTGGCAAGGCAACCCAACAGTGAACTAAAAGCAGCCAGACGTGAGTGTGTAGGAAAGAATGACTATCAGGAGACAGATTCTGTCCAGCTGAGTTATGTCTTCTCCATGAAGAAAATGATACTCTAGGCAGCCATGCTTATCTTGATGACTATTATAACTGAGCCCAACTCAAAACGGGAGGAAGGGGGGGGGGGCCTGTGGGTAAGACAGGCAGGCAGGCAGAAGGGGGTTCTGCCTCTGTTTTAGAAATAGCCATAGCAAGGCCACAGAAGTTGTTTATATTGCATAACTTTAGAGTTCCCTGCACCTGGGGTTGAGGACAGATTCTCAGCAGAGAGACGGGCTGTCTGCCACAGCAGAAGACATTATCAGCCTCCTGTGTCCATTCAGATCCAAACCCCAGCAGTCTGGCTTGGGCTGGCAGCCTAGGACTTCAAGGACATACCTTCTTAGGACACAACATTTTCCTGTCACAGACTGAGAGGAAAACTGCCCAGGAAGAACAGCTTGGACCAACCTTTGAACAACCTTCATGCAAAAGCACAAAGTAAACCAGGACTGTGGGTCCCACGCCCATGCCAGACTTCAGTCCCGTTCGTTCCCCTCTCATTAGAAAGGCCTTGCCTCCTGTAGCTCTTTGATCCTCCTGTGTGAAGGGCTGATAGGTTTTGCTCAGTGGATACCAAAGATTTGCAACTGAACAGAGTGTTCTTCCACTAAATAGGGAAAGGTTAGCTTTGAGTAGGAATTGTAAACCTTCTTTGGAGACTTCAGAGTTACAAATAGCACTGAGGCGGATTCTTCCCATTTTCTTGGTTTGTTTTATTTCTCAGCAGCTACTCGGGGTATAGATGCGTCACAGTTTGGATCAGGTGTTTGTGGGGACAACTGTGGAGGGAGCCACACTCCTCCACGCACAGGCGACCACTCCCCACCCTTCTCAGCACAGCTTGTGTGCAGGCCCCGGGGAAGCACTTGGCCACCCAGGTTGTGTTTTTATTTTTCAGATGGTCACAGCCTCCCACCATCTGATTGTTCCGATCCCTCTCCTCTTCCGTGAAAGTGTGAAGGAGCCCACCACTTAGAATTAACCTTCTAGAGGCTCATTCTGCCTGTGAAGGGGGCTGTGCCAGCCACAAACAGAGCTGGGATCATCTGGGGCTGTCACCAGTTCCAGACGGGACACAGGGTTTCTGCCCCTCTCTGCCTCAAGTTCAAAGCCACGGAGACTCGTGCTTCCTGGAGTGAAAGAACTGAACTACGCCTTTGCTTTCCTCTGTCTCCTTTGATCATGGTGTTTCATTTTAACCTCTAATCACTTTGTAAAATCTCAGGTCATTCAAACCTTGGGGACTAGGGATTCTTCATTTTGGAACGCATCAGTTATTTTAAATTACTTGCAGAGTGTCCATTCTGACTAACCTTGAATGTCTTCGTTATTAAGGCAGGGATCATCTTGAGAACTTAAAGCGGAGGCGCTTCCCCCCCTTGGACCATTAGAGTGGATGTATGTCCTGGGTGTGCTGGGCTCGTCACATGGGAATTAGCAGCATGCTGGCTGTTTGGAATGTTCTAGTCCCATGTCGACTCCTGCAGTGGGCTCGCTACAGTGAACTAAAACCAGCCGCAATACTTGAGCATTGACAGGCCCTCTTCTGACCTGGCCTTGCTCACCTCTCCAGTTCATGTCTAGCTCATTCCTCCTGTTGAGGTTTCTCAAACGTGGTTGTGTTCCATTTGTTTGTTTAACTAAGATCTGATGCTTGAAATACATGTCATGTCATAACTCCACACATACATATACAGAGCCGAGGAAAAATTCAGTTTTATATACCTACTCTGGGTAGTACCCAACAATCTATTTTGGCCAATGTGAACGTACGAAAATGGATAATTCAAATGTGTGGGTCAGACACTGCTGGTAGAAGGCACAGTCTTTTACAGGCTTGTGGCGAATTCGTGTTAATAGTATTTCATTTGTTCCTTCTTGAGGTGGCAAAAGAAGCTCATTCCCAACGTGCAAAGCCAAGGCAGCAAACCCAGGCCCTCTTCTGGAGATGGAGGCTTGTTGAAAACCCAGACTGTCTCCAACAGCTTGCCCAGCTGGCCCCAAGGAACACTGACAGCAACCTTACCCTGAGGTCACTGCTAGCGACCCTCGACCCACAGAGACAGTCACTGCCAGCCCTCCCTCCTGTCTACTGCAAGCACCGACTTCCAAAACAAAGCTGAAAAAAAAAAAAAATGGTTGCTTCTGAAAAAGAAAAATTAAAAAAAAAAAAAAAAAAAGCCCATGAGAATGCTAGCAGGCCCTGCCCACTGAGCAGCACTGCTTCCGGTCTCTGCGTGCACTTCTCCAGCCTCTTCTCCGCAGGCCTGTCACCCTCCGGCAAGGACGGTACCTTGGCTGTGCTTGCCTTGTCATGTGCAACTAGAGCCAGTGGCCAGAACAGGCATTAGCATCCTGGCGTGAGCATTGTGGAAGATTCCTCCTGTTTCTGTCTCCATTTTCCTATCTTTTCAAGTTTTTATTTAACAGTACAAAAGGATCAAGCTTGTGTTTGCTTCTTTTTTTTTTTTTTAACTTGAATTTTTAAATTTACTTTTTTTTTTTCTTGTATATTTTTGCTAGCTCTGAGCTTTTAAATGAAATTCATAGGTCTGGAAGAGTTTGGAATAAAAACAAGATAAAAAGAAGCCTTTTTATTACTGTTATTCTGAGAGATCCTGTCCAGTAAGCGGCTCCTCTGTGATACGTAGTGGCCTCTGCCGTGTGAAGTGTCTAATAAAGCTAAACAGACAGCCAAACCCATTCTTATTGGACGTAGCGATTGGCAGCCCAGCTCACTTAATTTTCTGACTTTTTTTTTTTTAAATAACAAACCTTACCGTACACTTTAAGCAAACCCATTTGCAGTGGATTTTCTTTCCTTTCCTTTCACTCTTGTAAAAAGCCCAGCACTTGAATTGTTATTACTTTAAATGTTCAGTATTTGTATCTGTTTTTATTAGCCAATTAGTGGGAATTTATGCCAGTTGTTAAAATGAGCATTGATGTACCTGTTATTTTTAAATAGCAAGGCACAGCCTTTGCCCCAAACTGTCATCTTAACGTTTGTCATTCCAGTTTGAGTTAACGTGCTGAGCATTTTTTAAAAGAAGCTTTGTAATAAAACATTTTTTTAAAAGTGTCATTTTATTAAGAATAAAGTTGCTGATAATTGAGAGTTGGTAATGAACTGAAGCCAGGGCCAGGATTTGGTAGGGCCCGGGAGCAGCCCTTATCTGAGAGGTGCTGCGTGGGTACAGGACAGCCCCTGCCTCCCTGGCGTCTGCGAGTCAGCAGAGCCTTGTGGCAGCGGTTTCTCCCTGCACATCGCAGGCCCCACATGGACTCCAGCCTCGGTGTGCTGAGGCTCACGGCGCCTTCCTCGCTCTTCACTGGCGGTCGACCCGAGCTCCCCAAATCCCGAGGCCCAAGTGTTGAAGGAGGTTTTCAGTCTTGTTCGTCCCTTCAGAGTCTGAATGTTTATTTAGTGTTTAGGGAGGACCTGTCATTTCCCCGTAAGCTCCTGTTACACCAGTACGTGTTGCTGTTTGAGTTAGCAGAAACTGCTACATTAAAATGTGGCTGTTTTGTGGTCCTCCACCTTCTGAGTTTGGTATCACTAACGGAAATCCCTCACTGAAATTCTAGTTCTCTTCTTTCAACTGTGGGTACAGCTGTGGAGCAGCTGGCTCCCAGGCTTGTAATAACCCTCCACGTACTGTACTTGAAGATTGCCATTAAATCACCCCTCAAATTTCTCTTCTCCAGGCTAAGTAATCCCAATTCCTTGAGGCTTTCATCATCAGCCCTTTAATCATTTTCATTACTATCCTCTGGAACCTTTCCAATTCCTTTTCATTTAATCCTAAACTTAAACCAGGAAAAAACGTATTATGTTCTGGGGTCCTACTTGTTAGAGAGGTTTTATGTGCAGCCCTTCATTCAGGGATCGTCTCCTTAACATACATGGTTCAAGGCACTCCGTCTGACTGCCACCATGATCATTTGGGGAGTTAGCTACAAAAGAAAACATGGTGGACTACTTTTCTGGGGGAGGCTGAAGGAATCTCTTCTGTGTCTGGGAAATAGTATGTTCGTCAAAGATACAGCTAGCAGGGTAAGGCTCATTCCCAGCCCCTCTGCCAACCTGCTTCCTGGAGGCATTTGTACTAGGGAAGGAGAATCAGGTATGCCCTCTCCCCACCCTCCTGTTCCTAGAGACATCACAAAGGTTGCCCGTGGCTGGAGAGATTCTTCTGGCCTCTTCTGTTTGATCATAGTGATGTAGCTCTCTGCCCTGCAGCCAGCACAATGCCCAGCCTTCCTAGGAGACCCGCCTTGCCTGAGGTCACAGTTGGCACACACCAGCCTTCAAAAGGAGTGTTTTCCTCCTGTTTTGGTTGGCTTAGTTGTCAGGGTTACTGGCTGTACCTGTCCAGTTGGGAGAGGCCTTTCAACTGCTTCCTGACTACGGCTGTCCTAATGCAATCATTTTCTCCCACCGCTCAGTCTAACGCTTGTGATAACAGAGAAACCTCTGCTGACCAGCAGTAACAAGACATCTGTGGTGCGTTCCTTTTGAAGGGGAAGAAATAAGGCAATGGGTGGTTCCAACAGAAGGAGGAAATTTAAGTCTCACAGTGTATCGCAATAGTGTAACCAACTTCCCACACCATTTCTACCACAGGAAGACTTTCTACAAAAGAGCTAATATGAAATGAGTGATAGTTAAACTCGGGGTGTCCAGCTCCAGCGGGCACCACTATTCCAGATGCCAGGGAATTTGAAGAGCTGCCCTATGTGACCTCCACACATGACCCTGAACTGCTCTCAATTAGGAATTGTGAGTAGCCAACATTTCAGTACTCCTACAAGAACAACTTTCTAAATTTCTGTAGAGTATGATAAAGATGACGTCATTGGTTTTCTCGGGCATCGTTTTGGAAGCTGCTAGTTTAAACTTTTGCCTCTGTTGAATCAGAGAATGGAGGAGAAGAGGTATGACCATATGAACAAATTATTTAGTAATCCAGAACTTTAAAGGTCAAGAACCCAAGTGGGGGTTTTTCTTTCTGGAAGAAACGATGCTACGCATCTGTCAAGTGCCGTGAGTCACATGCAGGTGTGTGAATTCATCAGCCAGGTGTGCTAGCGGGCATGCTCAGCACTTAGGGCAGAGCCCGGTGGCGACTGACCCCCAGCAGCTACGAAGCAGTTCGTGAGTGGACTTCCCCTTGAATTATAACCTGTTAGAAAAGATGTTTTGGTCCATTATAAAGAAAAGAAGAGAAATGTCCTGTACAGTTGGTATAGCTGTGGCCCTAAAATGCACCATCCCGTTCCGGGAGGTGTTAAGGGGATTTAACCAGCCAGTTTTGAACTTGCATGGCCCTTCGACAAGGGGAGGTAGCAGTAGCATATTTTTCACCAACATCACAACAACATCTGTGTCTCACTTAAAATCTTAGTTTGCGTGTGTTTGCATAGGTGTGTGGGGCACAGAACTGTGACGAGGCCAGAGGACAACCTGTAAAAGCTTTCACCTTCCACCACGTGGATCCCACGGATTGAACTCAGGTCATCAGGTCCGGCAGCCTTTACCCACGGAGACCTCTTGTAGACCATAGAGTGTGTGTGTGTGTGTGTGTGTGTGTGTGTGTGTGTGTGTGTGTGTTGTGTGTATTTTAAGGCGGGATCTTACTAGCTGGCCTCAAACTCATGATCCTCCTGCCTCCACCCCTCCAGCGCTGAGGTTACAGATGAAGTATTTTGCTGAAACGTAGCTTGAGATGTTAATAGCTAAATTAATTTAGCTCTGTATTAGATGTGTGGGAGAAACTGGCAGAAAACACACGACCCAGATGGAAATGAGAACAGTACACATGAATAGCAGATGTGGCCACATGTCAGCTCCTGCGTCTCTCTGCAGTCACAGCAGAATGAGTGGAGCAGACGTGTTTGTCACAGAACGTGACGTGAGTGGCATTGCTGAATTATATTTTATGCTGTGATGTTTTCTCCATGGGGGGGGGGGGGAAGATATATGAGGCAACTGAAATAAAGCCCCACAGACTGGTCTAGTTATTGTTGTCACACGCCTTTATGGGTTTTTTGTTTGTTTTATGAGTGTCCTTATATAACCGTCTCACCTGCCTGAATGTGTGTGTGCACGCTCCATGTGTGTGCCTGGTGCCCGAGATCGTCACAGCCGGGAAGCAGAGCGCTGAGAGCTGCCATTACAGGTGGTTGTGGGCCACCATGTTGGTGCTAGTTGCCAATCCTGGGTCATCTGTGAGAGCAGCAAGTGCTCTTAACCACTGAGCTGCCTCTCCAGTACCACAGGTATCTCCGTCGTTCAGGCGCTGTTTAACAAGGGTTCCCAGGTCTGGCTCGCCCAACTCGCAAACCTCCCAAGATGAGGTCTGTGGTCCTCATTCAGGAGCTTAACAAGACCCAGAGGTCACGTGCGGATGGTCTTGTTTTCTTTACGATTGCTGCTGTCTGACACACACCGGCTATACCTGCCGCCCTCCTCAGGTTCCAGTTAGTTGTCTGTCTCTTTGTCTCTGGCTCAGAGCATTCACACTCATGAAAAAGTCACTTTGCTTCACTCTCTGGCAGGCTCTTGGCAGCTGCTACTACTTGAAAAGTTTTTTTTTTTTTTTTTTTTTTTTTTTTTTAAATTAAGTGTGAATCTTTGTGGATTTGTACGGACCCCTGCAGTGCCCAATAGAGGCCAGTAGATGGCACCCTGTAGAGCTGCAGTTACAGACAGTTGTGAGTGGCCTGACTTGGGTGCTAGAAACCAACACGAGTCCTCTGCAAGAATACATTGCTCTTCAACCACTGTGCCATCTCTCCAGCTCCAGTGACTCTTTGTATTCTTTTTCTCATTTGTTTCTTCTCCATATTCTCTCTCGCCCTCTTCTTCCTCTCCCATCCCCTTCACAGAACAGCATCCCAGAGGGTTGATGAGGTCTTCAGCCCGTAGAGATGTTACCAGAAACTGTGGGGTATATGGAGTCTCAGGAAAGGAGGAAGCTGCTGGTTACAGACCACATCAGTGAGCTGTGTTTCCCGCTCTGACCTTCCCATTTGGGATCCGTCCGACTGTAATGCAAGGGTGCCAAGCATTGCTCTTCTAGCAAAACCACCCCTAACACACACACAAGTGTGTTCACCCAAGACTTAAGAAAGGGCACACGGCCAGGTGTGCTGGCACACAGCCATCCCAGGAACTCAGAGATAGAGACAGGGAGACTGCCCAAAGGTCACGGCTAGCCTCACCTACATAGTAGGATTGAGGCCAGCCAGGGCTACACAGAAAGACCCCATTTCAAAACAGACAAGGAAATCAAAAGTTGTGAGTGTTAACCACCTTTCCTCAGGCCTGGGATTCTTGCAGACGAAACTTCACTGAGCCGGCATGAGGCCCACGTGAGGAACAGCAGCTGGCCTTCCAACAAAGTAAGTGTGCCCCCCCAAACTAAAGACTCTACCTGCAGTGGAGACTGTGACAGGGGCTACACCCTCTCAACTCTGTCTTCTCTGGTCCTACTATAAGGTGGGTAGAGCGATGTGTCTCAGCCTGCCTCCCCACAGCTTTAAGATGGAAGCCTACGGGCTGGAGAGATAGCTCAGAGGTTAAGAGCGTTAACTGCTCTTCCAAAGGTCCTGAGTTCAATTCCCAGCAACCACATGGTAGCTCACAACCATCTATAATAAGATCTGGAGCCCTCTTCTGGCTTGAAGGTACACATGCAGGCAGAATAATGTATACATAATAAATAAATTAAAAAAAAAAAAAAAAAAGATGGAAGCCTAGGGTTCTGAAAACTGGTGGGTCCCAAATGAGGCAGGACAGTTCATTCACCCAAACCTCCCAAGGGAGAAAACTCAAGTTTCCCCAGTTTTGTTTGGTTTTACCTTTTCCACCTGGTAATTCTGGATCAATGGCTGTTTCTGAGAGGCCAGCAACGGCAATTACTGGAGAAATGCCTGTTCACCTGAGAACAGGACATTTTTTTGGTAGGACATTCCAGAAAAGGCAAGTATAGAGAGGAAGTTGAGGCATCTTACCAAGAGCTGAGGACAACATCTCACGATCTCTGAGGACCCCACACCACCACTCTGACCTGACAGGGTGGGGGTCGGGGGTTCCTTCCACACATGGGCTTCTGTTTCAGGCAGTTAGAGTGTCAAATTCTCCTAAAATGTGAGCCATCAGCCTGAGTTAGCATGGACACTGAGGGCAATCCAGCTTTCCCACCCTTGTTTGATTATGCCTATTGGGGACTCACCCCCATAGTTCTGACCACATAAAATCCTTTAGCACCTCCTCCGGTGCTCCGGTTATTTGAAAATACGGTGGGGGCCGGGGCTTGCGGAGAAGTTGTTCAGTGTTTAAGAGCACTGGCTTTTCTCGCAGAAGGCCGGAGTTTGATTCTGGGCCACAACATGGTGGCTCAGAAGCACCTGTAAATGCAGATGCAGGACAGTGACGCCCTCTTCCTGCCTCCGCAGGCACAGCACAGGAGCAAAGCAGAGATACGTCCAGGGGAAAATCCCAAACACACAAAATACACAACCACAACACCGTGGGGTAACGTTCACGTACCGCCTCATTTCCACACGTGTAGACACCCGAGGAGGCCTCCACCTTTGCCCTGCAGTCTTAAAGTATCTATCGTACTGCCTAGACTTAAACTGCAACTCACGTAAACAACAGCCGGCCCCAGCACACCAGACGGCCACACCAGACGGCCACACCGCCGATCCACCACCGCTCTGCCATCTTGGAGAGCCCTTCCTGGTAGATGTGGGAGTGGAGTATGCACCAGGGGGGACCAGCAACTCATTTCCCTAGGTGTAAAGTTGTGCAGCATCCTTTACTCTTGACAACACTGCGGCCATCTTACCAGATATATCCAGAACCCCTCTGGGTTACTCAGGCAAAGTGGAGCTGAGGACGGCAACCTAGCTGGCACCTTCCAAAGCCCAAGGCATGAAGAGAACAACAATCCTACAGCGGACACCACTGGGTGGAGCTAAAGCCCAGCGTTCGTGCCATCGCCAGCCCTCTCTCTCCAGTGGTTAAGCCTTGTTTGGTCATCTCAATAGGGTAACTTAAAAAAAAAAAAAGTGACAAGCAGGGCGTGGTGGCACATGCCTGTGATCCCCAGCACTCATGGAGGCAGAGGCGGCTGGAGCTCTGAGTTCAAGACCGGCCTGGTCTACAAAGTGAGTCCTGGACAGCCAAGGCTACACAGAGAAACCCTGTGTCGAAAAAACATAAAAGGTGGCAAAACAGATGGGGGTAAAAATCTGTGATTTAGAAACTCTGAGAACAATTTAAAAAGACCAGAACACAACCAAACGGGTTCTTTCAAAGCATGGTTTTGACAGTGTGCTGACCAGGCTGATAAAGCTCAGTTGGCAGAGTGCTTGCCTGGCACACGGTATGTCCTGGGTTCGATATACGCAAAAGGCAGAGGTGGCAGGATCAGGGTTCACGGTTATCCTGGGCGTCTGTCTGAGACCAACTCAGGTCAGATGAGGTTGCACCTCCCGGTTGGGAGACAGGAGGGTGCATAGGAACGATTCCATTGTTCCAGCATTTTTAGATTACTATTTGCGGTGCCTCAGTGCTTCTTAACAAGAAAACTAGCCACACCCTGTGTTTCTAATAGACTTAGTCACTCAGGATGAAATGTTAAGGGGATTAAAATTAAGGTGAAACAAGACAAAAGCCCATGTCACCTGTGTGAACAGCTCGGCTCTCCAAGAGCGAGCACAACCAGCGTGTGCTGTCGTGCAGGCCATCGCTCATGCCCCGGTTTTACTTTCCTCAGTGATGAACAGCTGGATCTCAAATGAGTTTTTGAGAGTCGACAGTAGCCAAACCTAAGTGCCTGGCAGAACTCAGTGGCAAATCCCTTTATAACAGGTTTCTAAAGGCTTTGTAGGGCATAGGATCTGGCTATGTGGCCCAGCTCAGTCTTGAACTCACAATCCTCCCATTTCTACCTCCTTAAGTGCAGAATTACAGGCATGCGCCACCTGGCACTCGGCTCTCACCAACATTTCACAGGGTCAGCATGTGACCTTGTGCTACTTCAGACTCGGTGTCAGCGAGTTAAGCCATGTTTCCCCTTTAGTCGCTGTTATCAACAATAACAATAAATCTAATGGACATTCAAGGGCCGTAGGCTTTGCTCTGTAACATGATTTCAAATAATCAAAAATTTCCCTTTGAAAGTTTCACTTCTGTTAGAGGATTTAATGACACCGAGGGGTCGTGGGAAGGAGCATGTTGTTTTGTTTTGTTTTGTTTTGTTTTAACCTACACCGACTTCCAAATGCTATAAAAGGTTCATGCTGCCATTAGGAGGCAACTTTAGAAGTTGAGGACCGGCTCAAGGTAAGAAAGCACAGGAGGTGGGAAACCCACCGAGGTACTCACACACGGAAGGGTGTGAGTACCGCCTGCCCAGGGACTCAGCAGGATACGTCATCACTGGCTGCCAAGATACATTTCCAGTCTCTCCACAAGCAGCCTATCCTCCCCTGCGCATGAGCTACATCCCTAATAACCTACCCATTCCATCTCGCTTCACTGTTTTCCCTCCACCGTCACCCAAAGGTCACTTCTGTATCCCCTCCCGATAAGCCTCCCACGTGAGATCTGTCCCAAAGTGTGACCTTGTTGTGTCCACCACTTAGATCGTAACAAAGGGGGCAGGTGACCGCTCCCAAGAGCTAACTTGGTAAGAGAAGGTTCCAGATCGCTCCCTAGTTAGTCCCCCGGAACGTACGGCATGGGAAAGATAAGTCTAAAATGGCAAAAGGAGTTTCGAGGCTGCGCCTTCTGAACACGCAGGCAGGATCAAAGTGCACTTTAAATGCCATCCAGAAGCAGTGCTGTGTCCCTGCCCACCCTGGGAGCTGACGGTTGTACCACTGAGCGTGCACGCTCTCTCTTTCCTGAAACTTGGTGGTTAAGAAACAGCGTGTCCGTTTTCAGGATGAGTGTCCACATCCTCTGCAGACTCTGGTTAGAGGGTGACAAACTGAAGCCTGTGGCCCAGGGGTCACAGCAAAGGTTAAGAGCTAGCCTGAGAACAAGCAGGACCGTGAGGCCACAGGTGACCTAGAAATGGTGGGGGCAGATGCTGGGAGCCTCCCGCTCGGGACCAGGCGATATATGAGAATGGCATCAATCAGGCTCTGGAGTGCTGCTGTGAAGAGACGCAGACAGGTGTGTGTTTTCACCCCCTGGAATACTCGTAGCATTTTAAATTAAGTTCTCTTTTAGCAACCACAAAATGGGAAAAAACAAAAACATAGCCCCAATAGAATATGACCTAAGGTAACAAGTACCTATTCGGGGGGAACATACTGCCTGAAAGTTTAGATTTGAGATTTCCAGATTCACTCGGTTATATTCACCATCAAAAATCTCAATCTAATCCAGAATCTGCTACTAAATACCTGATGACCTTGGGACACATCCCTTAAGCTCTCTGCTAATGAAGCCACCGGACCTCGGGGCTTCTGATGTCCTTCCAACTCCACATTCTATCATGGAAGACACTCTGTCAACCCAATGATTAAAAGAATCTTATGTTACATTATTTTACTTTGTTGGCAAAGAAGAAACAGATGTTCTTTAAAAACCACACTCTGTGCCCTTATTACTATTTTACTGGTAAGAAAAGTGGAAGGGCCAGACACAGGCCGAGTTTGCACAAATGCTCTCCACTACTCCCTCCCATGATGTCACTTCAGTGCCAGCCAGAGGTCAGAGAAGATGGATCCATTTTTATAATTACTTCAGCATCTTATGATTTTAAGTTGTATAAGTTTATTTATTCCCATTCCAATTTTTACAGATTAAAAGATTGCATTTTGGTAGAGTCAATTCATAGGCACTTCATAGCACTGATTTTTTTTCATGAAAAAACAAGAGAGATGGACAGTGATGGTTAAGATTTGAATGGCCACAGAGATGGGCCTTTTCCCCCCAAAACCAAGCTCATAGGTACTTGCCCACCACTCTAGAAGTCCTGACCTGGTGAGGAATAAACACAAACAGAACATTTCCTGTCATGCCCAGAGTGTAGGCTGAGGCTCAAGGCTGCAATGTTCCCAGGCAGGCAAGGCCTCAGGATGCCACTGGGCCGCTGCCCTTCGATGTATCTGTAGGCACAATGGCTCCAGCATCCTCATTTTCAGAAGGCATGAGTGAATGAGTCTAAGCAATGCTTTTACAAAAATGGCAAGGTTCAGAAAAAAGATGTTTGCTCCAAGGCACCAACGTATAAAGCTTTTTAGGAAAAAAATACACAGAAGAGAACAGACTAAACCAGAGAATTACATCTCAGTGGAGGAATCTCATTACTGCAACTAGTCAAACGATTACTTCAGAGAGTCTGCAAAGGAGGGCCCACCAAGTGGCCCATGGCAAGTGTCGAAACCACTGCCCTGGAGCGCGCTCGTCCTTCTCCTGTGGCTGGCTGGACAGGCTGCCGAGGGACTCCAGAAGTATCACTTGTATTTGTAAAACCCTTCTCCGGTCTTCTTGCCCAGCTTCTTCTGGGCCACCAGATTATTCATGGAAGGGCTGGGCTGAAATAGGGGGTTCTCCGGATCCATTTCATGCCACCCTGTTGAGAGGAAGGACAAACGGTCACTTTGGTTCTGGCATTCTCAGGGAGTGGATGGAATGGTATGCTACATTCAGCCTCAAAGTCCAGCTTAATAATTACTTTTGCGCTGTCTTCAAAACCACCACCCTTTAAAAAAAAATAACTGAATAGATTGATTCCAAGGAAGGTAACACAAGGGAGGTAGCTCATGATAGCACAGTACTGTGAACCACTGCCAACATCCTGACTTTCATTCTGTACTGTGGTTGTTTAAGATACACACCTATTCGAGGGAAACTGAAGGCCATATAGGACCTGAGTTATATTAGAAACGCCAATGGATCTATAAATGGGTCCAAATGAAAGGTTAAGAACAGCTGCACAGCACGAAGGGGACAGAGGCAGGTGGATCTCTGTGAGTTCAAGGGCAGCCTGGTCTAAAAAGCAAGGACAGGGGAGCCAAGGCTAGACAGAGAAACCCTGTCTTAAACAAACAAACAAAAAAACCCACCCATCTGCTGGTGTGACTCTCTACCCTGCTGCTATGGCTGGACTTGCTTTGTTCCCCAAAGGCTGATGTGCTGAAAGCCTGATTCCCAGTGTGGCAGTATGAAAAATGTTGGAACCTTCTTTAAGAGGTCATGCTTGGAAAAGGTACTCACGGGGCTCTTCCCACACAAGGGGACTTATAATTTTCTCAGGAGTGGGTCCAATTCAGTGACTAGATTACTTCTTGAGAGAGTAGACAATATTAACCAGGGTCATCCCATACCCACACTGTAGGCCTTTCTGTACTTGGCTGTTTTGCTTTTCAGGTTCTCTGATGTTGTGATCAAGCCATGGGTATCTTGTCATTGGGAGCATCTCTAGCCATCAGAACCAAGATACACATTGTTTTTTTCCTCTGTAAAGTATCCTACCTTAGGCATTTGGTTATGGTAACACAAGATGGACTACATAAGGCAGAACTTTGAAAGGTCTTAAGATTCCTTGTAATTGTTTAAGTGACATTGCAATTTGTAGTTCTAAGAGACCAATTCAACCCAGTTTACAAAAGAAAGAGAAGGATTTAACTCCTACCATCCAAGATGAACTTTGTGGTATCCAGCCCAACATAGTCAAGAAGCTCAAATGGGCCCATGGGGTACCCAGCTCCCAGCTTCATTGCCGTGTCGATGTCCTCCTTAGATGCATCACCTGAGGAGAAAAGGGCCCTGAGCGTCCACCACCTCCTTCAGCTCTCCTGTCCCTGGATTGCCAGAATTGCATAGACACACACATTCAGAAAATGTCTAAAAGTCCATGTTCCTGGTGTGGGTGAGATTTCTGTCCCAGACCACATGTTACACAGGTCATAGTCTTTTCAAACCAACTACAGCAAATGAGGAGACCTCTAGCCCCTGCTGCCCAGTTCAGAGAGCGAGCAGCCCAGCCCTGGGAGCACCGGCTCCCTAACAGCTTCACATTTCCCAGGTCTGGAGTCATTCACAAGAATGCCATTTGATATTCAAGTTTTCTTTTATAAATGGACTTTACACATATACACACACACGCACACATATATACACATATATACACACGTGTACACACAAGTATATATGCACATACAAACACATGCACACATACATTTATACACACACATACATGCACATATAAAAACACATGCACGCGTGCTTAGGTTTCAGTTTCTATGTTGCATATATATATATATATATATATATATATATATATATATATTTTTTTTTTTTTTTTTTTAACTTTCTTGTTTTACAAATGAGCATTCTGCCGGGCCTGCGCTCGCACAGACAAGGCAACTGCTTAAGGGCAGCCCAAAGAGTCAGAACCACAATACACTTGCTCTGCACTGCTGAGAATGCTTTTCAAAGCCATGCTAAGTTGGCAGATGTGTTTAGGCATTCATCTGCAATGCCAAGTTCCTTCCTGTCACTCTCAGAGGCACAACAGTTCTCCAGTGAAGTCTCTGAATCTGGAATTACAGTCTTGTCCCTAGAATTCACTGGCCTGTCCTAGAATATGGGTTTGATTAAATAGCTTCAAGCAAGGTGGAGCCTTTGTGCTGTGCTGAGTAGCCTGGGAATGAGGGTCCTGGGCTTTTTTTTCCTTAGAAATCTGCCTAAAACGCCCCGTCGACAGGCCACAAGATGCCTTTATGGTGGACAACTGTGCATTCTGCCTCCAAAACCAGCAACAGAAACTACCTGTAAAGTGTGGCTATCTATCTAGAATTTCCCTTCAAAGCACAAAGTTGTGGCCAGCAGTACCAGAACTGAAGTGTTTGTATCTATTACGTACCAGGCAGTAGACACCTGCAGAGTGACAAAGGCAAAGTTTCAACACTGCAGCATCCGAACCTCTCACGATGTGTGGGCAAAGATGAGCAGACCCGTTTGGGCTTCATCCCCTCACCCCCCCCAAGCCCAGCTTCTGAAGGGTGAAGAGAATCCCAAAGGAGCTAGAAGGGCACTGTAGACAGACACTATGCGTGTGCGCAGAGGACCTGAGAAGGTGTGTGTTGTGTAGCAGTGACAGGATTCTGACTCCACAGGTCACACATGTGGAGACAAAAGGCTTCCGTGATGCTGCACATGTCACACCTAACATCGTCACAGGATCCAACCCCAGGACTCCTTCCCACATGCCATGCCCTGGGCCTGGGACAGAAAGCCCTCCTTCAGGCCTCGGCCTCTTCCTTCCTCCAGGCTTCTGTTCAGATGGCTCCATCAGAGCCTCTCCTCCCATCCCACCCCCATTCCCACCCTGCAGGCCAGGGTACCCATCCTGTCTCCACAGTTGTCAGTCGGAGCCTCACTGAAAATAGAGCTCACTGAAACAGACAGCGACCCCACCAAAGAATGCACACGCCCTGGGGACAGAAATTTAACAGCATGTAACTTAACCCAAAGCCATTTACTCAAACCCACAGTCAAACACTATGGGTCCCAAAGACAAGGCTCTAATCCCAAGTCAGACCCTAACTCGAGGAGTATTACTGTGTTTCCCAAATTACTGAATGGTACAAAGTACCTAAAAAGATAAATCAGTACTCATATACAAAGTCAGCACAATTTTAAAAAACAAACAAAAAAATTCTGTCTTAAGCAAATCAGAGTAAATAGGCAAAGAGAAAACGACAGAAAAACAACATATACAAGGTGCTGGCCATGAAGGCGTTACATGTGGTATACTGTAGACTAGTAATTTCTAAACTCCTACAGTGCCCAGAACTTGTCTGAGAACCTGATGGTCCCTTAAAAAAAAAAAAAAAAAAAAGCCATACAAAGCTGTGCCTCACTCTCTCTAGCTCCCCTGAGTATGGGACCCTTAACTCCACTCAGGATAAAAAGATGCTTCAGCAGAAAACCCCCAAACCTGGATGGATGGTCTGGAGCCTGGGCCCAGGGACCTACCACCACAGGTGTGACCTTCTCTGGCTTTCTGGCACCACCTGCTGGCCAGTCTCAACATTACCAGCAGAATCTCCAACTCCACCGACAGATGGCTGAATCCTCACTCCCTGTCTGGACTGAGCTACTGGGAGCACAAAGACGAGAAATGAGGACTCTAACCATGCCCCAGGAAGGAGGACAGCTGGATAAGTCAGATGTGTCACCACAGGGGAGGGTGGCAACATGGTCCAAGGGGAGCCACCGCAGAGAGCGATGACATATTATGCCGGGTTTGGACTTCAGAGACACCAAGTATAGCTGTGTGGGAATGATGGAACGAGATATGTGGAAGTGATGGCAGAGTCCAAGGGTGAGGTAAAAGAATTTCTAGCCATGGATTGGATACAAGTTACCAGAGAAGGGCTGTACTTATCTTGCTTGAGATAGGATGGGGTATGGAGTTTGGGGGTGGGAGATTTGTATGGTGACGAGGAGGTAATTTCATGACATCCCCAGGCTACTACAGCACAGCCTTAAGAAGAGGTAACCACGCACTCGCTCTTGCACCCCTTTCGGAGCCGAGTGAGCACATGATACGGACAGCAGGTTCCCAAGCCTATACCACTCTGGCCCTCAGAGCTGGGACTTCTCTCTACCCATCAGGCCTCCACCAGTCTGAAGGAATGAAGCAATGGACAGCACACAGCTGTGAAAGCCACGGTAAAGGCCTACCACAGGAGGCTGGCAGAGGCCAGAAATACAGGGAGCCTCCATGAGATTCTTTCTACACAAGGTGTGAGAGGTGGTGGGCATTCACAGTGTATTGGCAGCTGCTCAGCTCTCTGAACCCTTCACTGAAGAGCCTCCCACACATCCTTCTACAGGCTCTACCACCCAATCAGTATTTACCTACCTGCAGCACCCCCACCCCCGCCACCCACACACTCAACAGTCTGCCAATACCATGAAACAGAAAAATGCTCTTCTAAGGAGCTAGGGAAGAAGTCAGAGCACGGGCAGAGGCCAGGCCCCCGTGGGTTCGCAGGCACAAAGAGCGAGCAGCTTGTCCTCCACTTTCTTGGCAACGGAACACTTTCTCAGCAAGCATGGCAGAGGAGACAGACCTAAAAGAGACATGCCGTAACCAGGACAGCTGCCTGGCTGAGCCTCTTCATGGTGGCCTGGCAGGAGGAGGTAGAGCTGGGAGGGAAACAATGATGACAGCAGGGCATGAAAGGTGACAAGCCACAACACGAGTGGGAGGACCTAGAGCCTTGGATGAAAAAGCAGAGATGTGGATGAGGACAGGGGTCTAAGCATGCATCAGTATCAGCCAAGTTTGCAAAGAGGGGGGGAAAGGGATATTAAGGGGCCTGGAGTCCAGACCACAACCTGTACCCACGTAACACTTAGCAACTTCAGAAAAGACAGATGTTCTGGCACAGGACCCAGAAAGCTACAAAGAGAGAGGCCGCAGGACTAGCAGTGACAGGCCACCCAGAGAAACAGCAAGAACAAACTGAAAGCATCCTCGGAGCCAGGTCCTGCCTGTCCTGAGGCAACAGAGGTAGCCAATACTGGGAAGAGGCAACGGAAGTGAAGAAAACAGTTGTCAACTTAGCATCAGCCACCTGGCACATGGCAGTGGTATCAAAGGACAGTATGTTTCAGAGAGAGAGAGAGAGCCACCGTGAAGAGGTGCTACATTCTGAAACATCACATTAGAGAGGGAGAGGGAAAAAAAACCCCAAATGTCTTTCAAGGTAGGCCAAAATGCCACATGCTTCCTTTGAGGTGCAATTAGGCGCATTTGTCAAAGGTAAACAGAAGTATTGGTTTGATCTTGGAGCAAAAGTAGGCAACCGCGTCCATAAAGCACGGAGGCGAGTTTAATATTTAAAGCCAGTTTTGAGGAGGCAAACGCGCTTTCATATGCTGGGAAGAGCCGGTGTAAACGCTTTGTTTGGAAAAACGCCTTTCTTGAGAGTACATGTAAACTAAAGTCACTCCCGTCAAGGACAGGCGCTTGCATTTTACCTGGTCCCTGGGACGCTTGCCTGCCTTCCGGCACACTTTCCCCTCTCAGAAACAGGGAGGAAGTCAGGCAGGCGGAGCGCGTGTCCACCCTGACCACAGACCAGGTCCTGAGGCTCCCTCGTCAACCTCAGAAGGGGACGTTGCAGGGTCAGGAAAGGCGCTTGCCTGGAGACCTGAGTTTGCTCCTCAGAATCAGAAACATAGGAGAGAATGGACCCAACAAAGTTGTCTTCCGATCTCTGCACACGATGCACCGTGACATGACAGGCAAGCATGTGCATGAACACACACGTACACACATGTACACACACACACACACACACACACACAAATAAATACTATCTTTTTAAGAGAAGGGGACATGTTAGACGCCTCATGAGGTGTCAAAAAGTGCTTCATGACGTTTTTCAATAAGGACAATGTCTTTCCTAAGCCTGCCATTCAGTGCCCATCTCCTGTCAGATTTTCTACATTAAAGGCCTTTAAAGAACTTCTACTCCTTTCCCCAGATTTGAAAGCAGTTAATGCTTACTATTTGTAGTGTGTGTGTGTGTGTGTGTGTGTGTGTGTGTGTGTGTGTGTGTGTGTAACATACATCATGCATATGTGTGTGTGCAGAGGCTGAGAAGAGGATTTCAGAACCCCTGGAGCTAGAGTTACAAACGGGTGTGAGCTGCCCGACATGGATGCTGGGACTCGATCGTGGACCCTTTGGGAGAGCAGCACACACTCTCAGCAGCCGAGTCATCTCTCCATCATCCCCCAAGTAGTACACTTAAAGGTCCGGGCCCCATCGACACCATCGCTGCAGCCTCAACTGTCACAGAGGTTCACAGGGAGGTCTGGGACCCTGGGAACCCAGCGACGAAGGTGCTAAGGCCAGAGCGAAGCTGACCTTAGTCCTGCAGAGCTAGAAAGCAGCCCCCCCCCCCCCCCCCCAGGCTCTGCACAGCCCCACCCCTCCCGCACTCAGCCTGAGAGCTGCAGGCCTTAACCTGGCCTGGGACAGGTACCTCGCTCGTGTAGCCTGATGGCCTCTATGAGGTACGGCACCAAGAGACGGTTCACGATAAATCCAGGGGTGTCCTGTTGCCGGGGAGAGAAACAGACAAGTGACTGTTCATTAAGCTTGTGTTCAGCAGAGACCACTCCCTCTTGCCCTAGATTACGCTGTCCATGCCTGTGCCATTCATATCTTCAAAATGTGCCCTTAAGTTCCTTACTCTGTCTCACACAACAACATTCTCTCTTCTACCCTCCACTTCCCTCCCAGGAATCCCTTTAGTCTTAAGGGCTCCCTTGAGGAGTAGCATTCCCCAGGTTCCCCGGAGCCATCCCTGGGTTATCTCGGTGTAGCTCAGAGCTAACCCAACCGTACACCCCACAAACTGGCCAGCAGGGCAACACGGTCCACGAGGCCCTGTCTCTTCAGCACACAGATAGCAACGCCTGCCACTGTCTCTACCGGCAGGGACCCCCGACAGTCCCAGCAACCTAGCCAAAACTGTACTAACAACACCACGGTGATTTCACGACAGCCAATATGTACCACCCTTCAGCGCGAGGCTGACACAGCACAGCCTGAGCAGGACGCGCACCACACCAAAAAAAGCGAAGGCGCGGCCTGCGTGACAACTTGCTCCAGCCGGAAGTGAGTTTTCCCTCTCCAGGAAGAGCACCCAGGAGCCACCTGCAGCCGCTCTACCCTTCTTCATACAAAAACAGAAGGGACGGAAAGTGTGCTGTCATGGACACGTAAGCCGGTGACGCCACTGTCTATTTTCAAGTAATAAACTACACGGGGCTGTGTGCGTCCTCCCCCTAAACAGCTGCAAACACTGTAGGTCCCCAGACACAAGGAACGGGCTGCACAGGGTGGCCGTGACTGCTGAGTGACAGGGCTCTCTCAGCGCTGGTCCAACCTAACAGGGCCACTGGTGTGACGGCACAACTGTCTCTAACGGAAACATTTTGTTACACAGAAGCACTTGTGATCCCTGTTCTACCTGGCTACCGTATACACTCTGGAAATCCCTCCTCAAAAGCTTGAATAACTACCCCAGAAGGGCTCCCAGAAGGCCTCGGGATAGCGCATACGGAGGTTCTTCCGTTCTCTGATGAGATCACCTCAGCGGACGCTCTGATGAATCAGGGTTCAGGGGAACCCCAGCCCTGTGCACTTACACCTACACCTCCACCCCCCCCCCGTCACTACCTCCTCGCTCTGATGTGCTTTCTAATACAATTACCGTTTTCTCCCTTAAGAGAATCAACTGTAGGAGAGCACAAGCAGAACAGCCCGCTGGTGTGACTAAAATTCAAAAAGTCAAGCTGATTTAAAAGAACCAAAGGAAGCTGGGTATTTTTTAAAAACAAGACTAATTATACTATCTATCTGACTAGTGGACCCAGCACAGGAGGTGGCCCTCCAGAGCTACTGGGACCAATGCTGACAGATGGCTTGTTCAAAGAAGTAATGAAAATTACGCTTTATTTTGTGGTATGTTCTGTTTGTTGTTTTGTTTGGTTGGTTGGCTGGATTTGCTTTTGTTCTTGTTTTGATATTTAGTATAAGACTGAACTCAATGGTATACTAAACTTAGAAAGCAAAGGCGAGATGAACCATAATGGCGAGATATCATGGCCAAAAAAAGCTGACACCTGACTTGTCAATGTCTGAACAGAGCAGTGTTCATGAGGCAGCAGAAAGGTGGTGAAGCCATGGATAAGCGTAACACCTACGGCGGTGAAACTAGGGAAGAACTAACCCAACAGGAGAAGCTGAAGGTGACATCAGCAGGTGGGCTCATCCTACCTAGAGTTATGCAAAAGCATAGCACCCAGAGCTATGGGGCATCTTAAGAACAGTGTGTGCGTGTGTGTGTGTGTGTGTGTAAACATGTATAGGTCAAGTTTGCATTCTATACAATCTCGTTTCCTTCCAGAAAAGCTCCGCATGCCACTGAGAAAGGCCTCCTCACTTCCCCTCGGCCGGGTTGGTCTCCTCCTGTCTGGGCATCCCCATAACTGTTTGCAGTGTCCTTCTCAACAGCCAGCCCTTTGTTTTCAGTTGGGCCTTTGTATTCTCTAGACTGGGCTTGACATAAAAGCTTCCATTCCCAGGGGTCAGAAATGGCTAAAACTGGTGGGGGACACTGAAACTGTTTATAAACACACAGTGGCTCATCAACAGGCAGGAGTCAGGGCCAGAGGGATACCCGTGTCTTCTGTTTATCTGAAGCATGGCTCCACTCAGATCTCAGGCTACCCATATGGTGGCATCGGGCTTGGCTTTGGAGTCTGGTTCCTTGCCTACAAACTGGAATGGAGCACAGCCTGGCCCTTCCAAGACATGCAGAGGCCTGTTGTCAACAGTGCCCAAGGCTCACGCTGTCCATGAGCACTGCTCTCCCAGAAGCATGTGCGCATCCACATAAAATCACCTCCCTTCCAGAATACCTGAAGTCAGTCCCTCGTGTGCTGAAAGTCTGGTCCCCTGGAAGATGGAGCAGACCTTTTCAGAGATGGGTCCCAGAGGCAGATACTCAGATCACTGACGGCTCAGGGTCTCAGGAGGGACCACTGCTTTCCGGGAGAGAGCTCTTGCCAGTGATCTGACTCTGAGCATCTCTTTGACTTGCTGTACAAGAATGGGATCCTTCCTCCTGGGTGCTCTGTGGCCACTATGACTCCACTGGCCATGAGGTCCTCACCAGAGCTCAACTGATACAGGTACCACGCCCTTCGACGCTCTTAAATACGTTAAATAATATTTCACCGGTCATTACCTGCCTCGGGAATTTTACTAGTCGCAGAAAACAGACAGAAACATTAGCCATACTCTACCTTGCAAGAAACAGGATGCTTTCCTAAGGTTTTACAAAAGTCGACCAGAGATTCAAATGTCTTCTGGCTGGTCATCGGTGTTTTAATGACCTGGAAATGCAAAGCAGAGAAGCAGTAGAATGGCTCAAGGAAATGGAATCAAAGGCTCCACACAGGTGACAAAACCATCTTTCGTTTTAGCACAGTAGATTTCTCAAGTCAGGAGCGAAATGTTGACCCAAATGCCCATGCAAGACACTGGAGTCTGCAGAACGCACAAGCCCAAGGGTTAAAATTGAAGTGTGTGCTGCTGGCGGGGTGAGGGAGTCCTCAGCGATCTCAGCGACCCAGTGTCTCACAGTGAAATCCCAGCTGCACCCCTACCCACATTTATCGGCATGGGACACTGGGCCTGTTTCTTGAAACTAAAGTGACATCAAAACCACTCTGCCCACATTAAGGAGCTGAGGTAAGAAAGAGACTAGGGTTAAGGGCCAACCATGGTGCCTAATGGAAGAGAGAGCCCAGGAAACTCCGGCTCTGCTTTAGTCACTGTTACTGGCTGCATGGTGCCGTGGGAGGGAGGATGGTGGCTGTTCTTAAGGTTCTTGGCATGGAACCACCTGTGTGGCACATGAGGTATGACATGCCTATGTCACAGCCATCTCGATTCCTACATGAGTACCCGTCTCACTGTGCCACTCGCTCCCACCACAGAGCAATGTTTATTTATATACCTATCTATTCATTCATTCATTCATTCATTCATTTTGCCAGTAGGGCCCTCCAACAGGCCCCCCCCCAAACCTTCCCTTCAGTGCACACGGGGCACAGCTGCTACGCCCACTGGAATCCAGAAGAGGTGGTACCAAGCCTTGAACTACAGATGTTGGAATCACTTGTCACGAATTAGATTTGGGTAAACAGAGAAGAGCCCAAGGTAAATCACACACACCACCCATGTCCACAGACATTTTAAATGCCAGAAGGGACTATCAGGTAGAGTCGTAATGAGGAGACTCAGTTCCTACAGCAGACCTTCTCAGGCGTCTCCCTCCCTGCTGTGAAATGAGGATCAAGATACCTGGAAGTCTCCTATGTAAGAGCTCCCATGGTCTGGCTGAACAAGCTAGGTCTGTCGGGATGAAAGGAAGGACAAGAAGAGCACAGGGGAACCCATGATGCGGGGTTGGTGGGGTGTAACAGCACATGGAGCAGATATGTGGTAACAGACACGGGCACCAAGAGATAGCGATGAAGAGGACAGAATGGACCAGAGACTCCTACGAACAGCTCTTCAAACTCTTCTGAGGGAGCCTGAAAAGGCCTGTGTCAAATCCGCATCTAGGGCAAAGGCTGCCAGCCTCCAATCTTCAAGGTAAGTTGCTGACTTAAAAGAGTTGGGAGCTGGGAGTTTTGTAAATAGTGGGGGGGATGCATTCCTTCATTTAGCAAAGGGCAACACTGAGTGATAATCTATACCCCAACACAAGTCCCGCCCCAGGGGAAGGGAAGGACTCCTTGGCTCACTGGCCCATTCCTTTGGATGCTCACCATCAGCCGCACGCAAAAGTCCCGGCCTGAAGCAGGGAGTGGGGCAGGAAGTCCCATCCCTAGCTGAGGAACTAGTAGAGACTGAAAGCTGCTGGAAGCCGGGGGTAGGAGTTCTTCAAGGGTGTGGTCCCTGCTAATCCAGCTATGCTCCAGTGGGAGGCCACACACCCAAGAGTATATATACTTGATGGGTTTCATATATAGATATATACATATATAGATATCTGAAATTGAGAAGACATGGAAGGAGCTGGGCCTGGAACAGGTTGCAGGGGTTGGGGTATGTGTGTGTGTGGAGGTGAATATGATCAAAATGCAGCATATGAAATTCTCAGAGAACTCATAAAAATAAAATACTCAATAGAACACTTTCATAGACTATTCTAAAAGAATGATAGTATTTGCTAAGCATTATGTTAGCCAATTAAACTGCCCTTCTCAAGAAGATGCAGTAGGAAGATCCCTGCTCTTCGCAGTAACTCCACGGAATGGGAACTATCCGCAGAACACAGGAATACACACCCTAGTAACTAAAACCAGTGAATCGCTAAGCACTGAGGTGAACACCTCCGCCTCCCCCTTCGCTGCTCTCTGCATAGGGGCAAATTGCATCTTCTACTTCCTATGATTTCCCATGCCTCTTCCTTTCACTGTTCACTTCCTTTCTAAAGTTTGTTTTTATATGTATAGGTGTTTTGCTGCATATATGCCTATGTGCCATGTGTATGCCCGGTGCCCACACAGGCCAAAGACATGCTTGATCCCTTGGGACTGGAGTTACAGACAGCTGCGAGCTGCCATGTAAATGCTGGGAACTGAACCCAGGTCCTTTAGAAGCCAGTGTTCCTAACCACTGAGCCATCTCTCCAGCCTTTTTTTTTTTTAACTTCTTTAATAGCAGCCTCGAAGAATCGAGACAGAATTCTGTCAATGGGACAGAAAGACTCCCACTGCAGAAAGACTGGACCTGTCACTTGAGCAAAAGAGGATGTGAAACATCTAGAACTGATAACACATGCTGATGTTGGGGATGGGCAGCGAGGGAGACAGAAGGCAAAGGTCTTGCAGAGAAGGCAGCCATGAACAAGTCCCAGAGAGGCCTTAGCCAGTGTCTGGAGGTTTGCCTGGCTCCACATGGCAGCGTCCCCCACACTTCGCACAGCAATAACTCCACAACCTCAGACCAAATGCTGCCTTAATAGCAGCCTCTCCTGGAGACCCTGTAATTAACCCCCCTAAAGGGCAAGCTGGCACATTCCAAGTGCAAATTGTCTATCGTGGCTCCATCTCCCTTGACTAGTTTCCCAGCCAGCGAGCAGAAACAGCCCAAACAGGAATGCTGGCAAGCCCTGCCTGGCCCTTCCCTCCACCTCTGGCCTTTGAGGTCAGCAGGCTCAAGGCTGCAGGAAGCTGCTTTTAATAGCTCTGATCACAGCAGGGAGCTGCCTCACCTGGGACAACGACTGCTGCCCCAGACCAGAGTTCAAGCTAGGAGAGAGAGACTAGCTAGTTCATGTCAGCCAAGAACTGCCGTCTCCAGCATGGAGCAAGTTGGCCTTAGCAACACAGTATGACCTAGAGGGTCTCTAGTCACACGTCTCTCCACACACCTCTCTCCAGGTCAGTGACCCTTAGTGTCCCTCTCAGTCCGATGTGCCTGTCAGCGCTGCCACTGGCCCTGACACAAGCAAGTCAGTGACACGCACAGGAACATAAAGAAACAAAGCGGAGGGGCCTTGCAAGATATCAGGCGCCTTTTCTATCCTTGATCCTGAAGAGGACAAATTGTGACAACAGAAATACAAAGGGGTCACCTCCCAGGCTCTCGTTAAATTTCATGCGGCGGGCGTAATCCCCAGTGGGAGGGCCGGTGTGACTCAGAAGGCGAGACTGCAAAGGCTGGAGAGGGAAACGCACGGGACCAGGTGCCCACTGACCTCCACAAGCTTCATCATGGGGACCGGGTTGAAAAAATGGAGGCCAGCAAACCGGTCTTGTCTGGTGGTGGCATTGGCTATGCTTGTGATCTGCAAGGAAGAGGTGTTGCTGGCAAAGATTGTATGTCTGTGGAGACAAAAAAAAAAAAAACAAAAAAAAACAAAAGGTAGAGAACCAGAATGAATCAGAACGAGTCCCACGCGGGCCCACACTCAGCCCCAGAGAGCTGGCTGCATCACCCCAGTACTGCAGCTCGGCTGGGCCTCCCTGCTGAGCAAATCAGTCAAAAGGCAAGTCTCTGGGAGCGGCTGAAATCAAGTGATCACGTTTTTCTTTAAATCCCAGAACTTTAAATTCAGTTCCCAGCTCCCTAGGCATAATCTTCACAGGGCTTTCCTGAATTTGCAGAAGCTGAGGTTGTCTCTCGTCCACATATATTAAGTAAATTTTACGATAAAGGAGGGAGAGAGGAGGCAGCGGTGAGCGGGACGCCACCCCCCCCACCCCCCCACCCCCGACCTAGCACGATGAGGTGACCAGACTCAAGAAAAGAGGAAGGCTGGATCAGATAAAAACTGTAAACAATCCTCAGAGAGCACAGGGCACCTCCCCTCCAGTGCAAAGCCTTAACTCCGTCACGAGACAGGAGCTGAACATGCTTTGAACATGGTCATAAGGGAAGTTTAGTCACATAGACAACCTGGGAAAGGGGGGCAGACGCACACACATGACACATGTAAATGCTACGCTCCTCACAGGCTGGCCGAAAAAACACTTCTGTCTCATTTTATATGTATACGACCTTAACTTACTAACTTACAAATCTTTTCAAAATTTAATTTGTTAAGACCAGAGTAAAACGAGGGTGCCAAAGGCAGCCAGGCGAATCCTCCGGCTGGCTGGCTAGGCTTTCCTACAGCGCCACCTTGTGGATAACTGAGAAACCGGCAGGGCGCCCTTAAGCACAGTTGATCTGGTCATTGGACCCAAGGACAGCGACTGCCACTGACCAGATTCTCTCTGGGGTTCCTGTCCAATGTCAGCGGCAGACCAAAAATTAATTAATTATTAATTAAAAATAAAGACAAAACCAGCTGAGGGAAAAAGAAATCAGTAATCTGGAAAGGAGAGAAAGGGGAGGTGAAAGGAAAGGCCAGCCTGGGGGTGTTCACATGTCTATGTGATTCTAGTATGGGAGTGTCTGGGGCAGGAGGATTGTGCGGTAGCAGCTGGCAGCTTGGCCTACAGAAGACGCTATCTTTGGCGAGTATGGGTAGGCAGGGAAGGGAAGAAGATCTCTCAGGCCTCAGCTCAGGAGAGCCTGCTTAAGGCACTAGCCCCTGCTTTCTACTTTTCTCAGCCTCCATGGCAGGCTGTTTAAAACCCAAGGTAGCGCTCACTGGGAAGGTCTTTGAAATTTTCTACTTTGTGACTCTTAAATCACAGGTTGTAAACCTGGGAGTAGCCAAAGGTCAAACAAAGAAGTAGTAGGCTGGCCCAGCCTCCTGACTCTCCCAGCCCCCACAGACACACCCCTCCATGGACCCCAGGGGGCAGTTGGGCCTTTCGCTGCCACTAAGTGGCCTCATATCAAGGCCAAACTGCTCAAGAACAACGGAGGACAAGTTTTTGCAGACCAGCCCAGGTTAGATGCCACTGCCTGCTCCGTGACTTGAGAGCCAACCGCAGGGCCAGGAGTGCCTTCTTTGCCGTACATCTCTGCAGCGCTAAATGCACATGACCAGCAGAGTGTGGTACAGAAGACAAGACCGGAGGAGGCGGGGCCTGCCAGCCACAGATGAGGGTTTACTGCCCTGTGAGCTAATATGCGGGTGTTTCTCCATAGCCACCAATCACCAGCGTTCTCCTGAGAATTACTTACTCCTACTGCCTTGCTCCAGCATTCAGGTCTAACTGAGAAGGGCCAAGGCTATCCTACGGCGCCCTCTTGTGGATAACTAACAAACCTGCTGTGGGCCATGGACTCACAGGGAGTGGCATTATTGAAGGTGTGGCCTTGCTGGAGTAGGTGTAAGGCACCTTGCTGGAGAAAGAGTGTCACTGGGGGTAGGCTTTGAGGTTCAAGCCAGGCCTAGTGGCCTCCTCTTCCTGCTGTCTGCTGGTTCTGATGTAGAACTCTCAGCTACCTCTCCAGCACCATGTCTGCCCATAGGCCGCCATGCTTCCCACCATGATGATAATGGACTAAACCTCTGAAATGTAAGCCAGCCCCGATTAAACGTTTTCCTTTATAAGAGTTGCCGTGGTCATGGCGCCTCTTCACAGCAATAGAAACCCCAACTAAGTCAGAGGTGTTGGGTAGCAGAGAGGTGGCCCTGCTGTCGGACAGGGAAGCTCAAGAGGAAAAGCTTTCAGAATGCAACCAGAAAAGCCAGTCACGTACTCTGCAGCGAACTTGTCCAGTCTCTGGAAAAGCTCATTCTTCAACTTGAGGTTCTCCACGATGGCCTCCACCACCAGGTCTGTGCTGTGCACTACAGAGGCTGCATCCGTGCTGGTCGAGAGGCAGCTCAGGGTCTTCGCCACAAACTCCTCACCACCCTGTGCAGACAAGAAGAGAGCGTTCACCAGCCCTGCAGGCGAGGGACATGCCTGAGGCAGGAGGGGGAAGGCCTGAGAGACCAACACAGACACTGGAACTCACAGCAAACTCGCAACCTCCCTGAGGAGGGTCAGGAACATCCAGACACTAGGGAGAGAGTCAGCCTGTGGACAAAGCCAACTCTACACAGGAAGTAATCACCATTTACCAGGGCAAGGGGCAGAGGGAATATTTAGTTACTGCTTAGTGAATACAGTTTCTGTTCAAAATCATGCAACAACATTAGAATATCACACACACACACACACACATAACTGATGCCACTGAATTTAGAAGTGCTGAAAGTAGGAGACAGGGGAGAGTAATGGAGAGAATAGGATCAAAATGCTCTGGAACTGTGTACGAAACCACCATAACACAATGTCGGCCTCACCATGCAGAAATCATGCATGCTAATAAAACATTAAACGGTTAAAATGCCAAATTTTAAGATATATATATATATGTGTGTGTGTGTGTATATATATATATATATATATATATATATATATATATATATATAT